TCCTCTCTACCTTATCCTTCTCTCTCTCTCTCTCTCTCTTTCTCTCTCCTGAACATTCCATAGCCATCTCAAACTTAATACATCCAAAGTAGAACTCATTTTATTGTCCCTTCTCCAAACATTTTTGTTGGTGGCATCACCAAGTTCTCAACCAGGTTAACAACCTTAGAATCATAATCACTGACTTTTCCCTTTCCCTTAGTTCCCTTAGATATCTGATCAAATGTTCTAGGCTGTGGATCTTGCATCTACAACTCCTCTTGCACCTGTTCCCTCTTCTCCACTTACACTGCCTCTGCCTCTCATCTAAGTTATTACAATAGCCTAATTGGCCTCTTGCTTCCACTGTCCCCTTCTCCAATCCATGCTTGGCATATGTGCAAAACCGATGTTCTCAAAACAAAGACCTGGCCAGGTTTGTCTACTCAAGAATCTTCAGTGACTTCCTAATGTCTCTAGGATAAAATATAAACTACTCAGGCTGGCATTTATAGCCTTCCACAATTTAGTTCCTATTTACCTTTCCAGTTTTATTTCATGTTATTCTCCTTCACTCACCATCTGTTCTACTTAAACTGGCCTACTAGCTGTTCCCCATATACAACATTCCCTGCTCATCTATAGATTTGCACAAATAATCTTCTAAGTCTGGATTGTAACCCTCCTTCATCTCTGACTAGGAAAAACCCTAGCTTCCTTCAATGTACCACTTTTTACTTTCCAGAATATCCACAATAGGCCTTTCCTGATTTCTATGCCTTCACCTAGTTATTAGCACTCTCATCCTCCTGTATGTTAATTTATATATATTTACTATTTATTTACTTGTATGTTGTTGGGGCTAGGTGGCCCACTGGATAGAATATCAGGCCTGGAGTTAGCAAGATTCATCTACCTGAGTTCAAATCCAGCCTCAGACACTTACTAGCTATGTGACCTTGCACAAGTCACTTCACTCTATTTGCCTCAGTTTCCTCATCTGTAAAATGAGCTGGAGAAGGAAATGGCAAACCACTCCAGTATCTTTGCCAAGAAAACCTCAAATGGAATCACAAAGAGTTGGATATGAGTGAACAACAACAATACATATCATACACCCTTTCCCTCATCCAGTAAAATGTGAGCTTCTCGAGGGTAGGAATTATTTGATTTCTGTCTCTAGGCTGTCAGGACTAACACAGGGCCTAAGAGTAAGCACTTAATAATATTTGTTGAATTGAAATTGACCGTATACATTTTGTTTACATATTATGGATTCTTTTGGTCATTCCTGGGCATTTGAAAATTATTTTCTTAGAATACAGTGTTTAATTTCTTTTATTTATCTAAAATTACTGGAATGTCAGTAAAATTGAGATTGCTACATGATTGATCCTCAAGATCTGTCACTTAAATCTGAAAATTTTCTGATTCTTTATATAATCTGGTGATTTTTTTTTTTGAACCTGTACTTTTAGATGCTAGATTTTGCAGTGGATAGAGTGCTTGACCTGGAGTCAGGAAGATATAGTTCAAATTTGGCTTTAGAAACTTAATAGCTATGTGGCCCCAGATAAATCACTTAACCTTTGTCTGCCTCAGTTCTCTCATCTTTAAAATGAGGATAATAACACCTACTTCCCAGGTCTGTTGTGAAGATAATATGAGAATTTGTTGTTGAGTCATTCTGTTTGTGTCCAACTCTTCATGACTCCATGGACGCCATGCATGCCAGGCCCTTTGTAAAGTGCTTTGCAAATCTTAAAGCACTATATAAATGTGAGCTCTTCTTTATGATGATGATATGCAGTTCTGCTCTTCTGTAAGAAGCCTGCTGTCAGCTGATTCAACAGAATTTTTATCTGAGTTTTCTATTATATTCTCTATATTATTAATTTTCTTCATTATTTCCTCTTGGCTTTTTGATTCCAGCTTAAATTTTTTCCTATGATTTCTTTAAGTTCTTCTTAAATAATAAAAAGCATTTTGGAGTTAGTCTTTTTTTAAAATTAGAACTATATTGGAGAAAAAGGAGGAACCTAAGGGGAAAGGACTGCAGCTAGGGGTGGATGGGACAATCACTAGTAACCAAGAGAAGCATGAGTTGCTCAATAATCATTTAGCTTTTCTTTCTGCTATGGAGAATGACTTTTGTAATGGAAATGATGGAATAAAAATGGCTCATCGAGAGTTGCTATCCAGGCAGGTATGGAGCACCAGATTGATTAAGGTCAATTGGTGCAGATCAACTACGTCCCTCAGCTACTATAAGACCTGGGAAATGTGACTGCCCTTCTGGAGAGATGGTGGTTTCCACTTCCTTAGGTGGTCTTTAAGCAGAGGTTTGGGTGATCACTTGTTACATGTTACAGTGGGGATTCCTTTCAGGTATGGGTTGGAAAAGATGGATGCTGAGGATGGCTGCCCTTCTAACTCTAAATTCTGTGATTTGTTTATCTAGTCTTCTGATTATCTTGTCAGTGTTCATTTTTGCTTAATTTCTTTAAATGTATCATTTATTCATTTGAGAATTTGGGGATATCTTTATTTTAAAAAATCATTCAACAAGAATTAAGTATCGGGGCAGCAAGGTGGCTCAGTGGATAGAGCTCTAGCCTTGGAGTCAGGAGGACCTGAGTTCAAATCCTGCCTCAGATACTTGACACTTACTAGCTGTGTGACCTTGGGCAAGTAACTTAATCCTGATTGCCTCACCAAAAAGCAAAAAATAAATAAATAAATAAATAAAAGAATTAAGTATCTACTGTATGCCAGGGGTTGGGGAACAAACATAAAAATGAAACAGTCCCAGAATTCAAAGTACTTATATTCTATAGAGGAGATAACATGAAACAGTAATAACAAAAGAAAGAGAATAAAAAAATGTTATCTGAAAGTTCAAAAGTCATCTTGTGTTTAGGAGTCATTTTGGGAATATAGAACCATTTCGCTTTACAAATAATATTTCAAGACACTATGATTTCGTTGGTGTGGGAACTCTCAGTATGGGTCCTCCCTCTGATGCAGATTGCAAAATGCATGCACATATACCATATTTCACCACATAATCATTGCACCTGTTTTTTTTTTCAGTCCAAAATTCAGTTTATAACCTTTTATCCCATAATCATTATGTGATATAGTTCTGTTCATCATGCTGCTTAAAAAAGCATCAATGTATTCACCAGTGGTATATGGATACCCTTTCATCTCTACTGCACTGCGAGCCGCACAGGCATTGTCAGTAAATTTCCAAAAACTGACTTGCGTGGTTTTAGAGCACTGCAGTAGCAATGGTATTGTTACTCAACCCAATGAAGAGCGGTAGGCACAAGGGGAGCAGTGGGCAGGTGAAGCTGCCATGAGTAAGTTAGGTGATATGGTAAGACTTGCATCTTCCTGTGCTAGCTAAACCATACAGTTCATCTGCCAGCAATACAGTTTAGTAATAAATGATTTTTAAGTAATACTGGCACAATTTTTTTAAAAGACTCACATAATGGTTGCACCCCACCACTTTTTCCAAAAATTGGCATAAAATCTGCGACGATTATGTGGTGAAATATGGTACTGTTCTATGAGTTAGATCTAGTTTAAGCTCTCTTAACAAAAAGCAATTTGACCTTGGAAAGTGAAAAAACTCTCAAGACAAATGATTTTCAGGATCTCTCTCCAACTGAACTGCTTTTTATACTTTAATGGTTTTAGTTGCACTGTAGTTTTTTCTAAATCATATTGGCACCTAGCTTTCTATTTAGTTGATTTTTATTATTCTTGTGTAGTGGGTTTTGGGGCTGTATTATCTTCTCTTTGGTTTCTTAGTTTATTTTGAAGGGTATTTTTAAAAATCCAATTTTGTTTTATTTTCAGTTCCAAATCTCTCCCTCTGCCCTTTCCTTCTCTACCAATTGAGATGACAAAAAGAAAAACGGAAAAAAGAACTCATTACAAATATGTATAGATATGCAAAACAAATTTCCTCATTAGCCTTGTTCCCCACCTCCCAAAAAAAAAAAAGGAAGAAAAAGAAATAAATAGAAGAAAATATGCTTTAATTTATACTCTAGGTCCATCAGTTCTCTGCGTGGAGGTAGATATCATGAGTCACTGGAATTGTAATTGGTCATTGTGTGGATCAGAGTGACCGTCGTTCAAAATCAATTATCTTTACAACATTGTTATTACTGCATAAACTGTTTTTCTAATTCTGCTTACTTTACTCTGCATCAATTTATTCAAGTCTTCTCAGGTTCTTCTAAACCATTCTTCACCATTTCTTTTTTTTAAAATTTTTAAATTTGTATTTTTAGGCAATTGGGGTTAAGTGATTTGCCCAGGGTCACACAGCTAGTAAGTGTCAAGTGCCTGGTCTGAGGCCGGATTTGAACTCAGGTCCTCCTGACTTCAGGGCCGGTGCTCTATACACTGTGCCACCGAGCTGCCCCTCCTTCACCATTTCTTACAAAATAATAGAATTCTATCACATTCATATACCGTACCTTGTTTAGGCATTTTCCTGACTCATGGGTATCCCCTCACTTTCCAATGTGGTTTAAATGCACTTTTTTGGTCAAAGTTACATGTGACACTCACTCATTTCAAACAAACTAAAAGTAAATTCTGAAGGATACAATATTTCATAATGACTTTAGTAGTTAGAAATCAAGAACAGAGAGTTCCTTTCCCTTCTTTAAATCTCTTCTTATTTGAAATATTTTGCTAAGAAAAAAAGTAGCCAGGTCCTGATTGGTGCAATTAATGAATGCAGTGGAATGGTTACATTATTCAAATTCATACTGCCTATTTCAAATGAGCTGGTACCAATTACCATATTTACATAATTATTATTTCAAATAGTGTGAATTGAAATACCTACTACCACTTCACAGGATTTGTTATTTACATTAATTGGTACTTAGCTGTTATTTGGAACAGAAAGAGCTAGAACTTATGTCATATACCTATAGGAAGCTTCCTTTACTTGGCTATAACATTTTTTTTTGTCGTTGATTTTTACTTACCAACATACTCATTGAACCTACTGCAATGGGTTTATCCCTCAGTTCTGGATTATTTCTCATTTCTACAGCTGCATAAAAAGCATCCATGTCAATGTGTACTATAGTGCAGTGCAGATTACGGCTCTGTTCCAACTCCATTGCAAGTTTGTCAACCTTAATGGAAAAAAGGGTGAATATCAATACATATTTTGATACTGAAAAATGCCAGCACCACCATATTGTTTACTTTTAGTAGAAAAGTGCTAAATCTGAGTCGAGAAAAAGAATATCCTTAAGATAAATTCTATAACCAGAAATGGCAACATCATGTTGTACCCCAAACTGCCCATGCAGTCTCTATTACTTGACCACTTTATTCTTTAATTAAATTATTTTACTTTATTTAGTTCCAAATTTTTATTTTCTTTATTTTCCTATTATTTATTTTCCAAATTTTAATTTTATTAAGTTCCAAATTCTCTCTTTCCCTCCACCCCTTTCCCCATCATTGTAGAAGGTAATGCCTTCTACAATGCCCATTATATATATATGAACTCACACAAAACATACTTCTGCATTATTCACAATCTGAAAAAAGTACCCTTTATTCTTCTAGAAAAAAAAAACAATATAAAGATTGCCATGCATCATGATCCTGCCAAAAAAAAAAACAAAAAAAAAAAACATGTTCCTTTCTCCAAATGTGTGTAATATATCAACATCACCAACAATTGACGGATACCGAATATTGATAGTTGGTTTTAAAACTGCATACTTAGAGTTATGGAGGGTAGAAGCTGAGGAGATTATTAATCACATTTGGCTGCTGTAAAGGGTATCCAGCAGTCCCACAACAGTGCTGGACTAAACAGCTGTATGAACAGTGTCCAGTACTGATTCAGCAGTTGAGTCAAAATTCAGGATGACTTCCAAGAACAGATCAAGGGTCATGGTATAAGCTAGTTTGGCCTTTCAATACTGAGCAGTGACTGAGATAACGAGGAAATGAAACTGAGATTCTACCATTCCATTCCACTTCTGTAAGGGCAATCAATATAAACTGGAAGCCTGGCTGAGGAAATAGAAAGTGAATGCAATATGGCACCATGTATTGAAGGGTAATGCTATTTTCTACTTGATAATTTAATTCCCATTCCTGGAAAAAGAAATGTTGAAAGTCCTTTATAAGCAAAGGAAAAAACATGATAGAATATTGTACATACTGACTTTATGTCAGAATTGATGTATTGATTAGTTTTACTGAACTGCTTTTCCTTCTTCTTTTTGATATTTTTTGTTACAAGGGATGACTTGTTAGACAGGAGAAAGAGAAGGAAAAGATTCAGAAATTAAAGGAATATAAAAACAAAACACATCAATAACAAAACTTATGTGGTAGAAAATCATTCTTAAGATGGATCTGTTAAAAGGGAGAGAGAAAATTGCTTTCATATACTTCAACACATGAAATTAGTTCACTTAATTAGAGTCTGGTCTATTAGAAACATTATGACCATTAAGAATGAAAAGAGAAAATGATCCCTTTTACAATTATGTTTCTAATGAAGCTTAGAACAAGACATATCAGGAGGTAGTCTATAAATATTGTGATGTGCAAAGAATTAGTTTCCATCAACAATGTTAGCAACAACTATATCCAAGACTACAGAATATTCCACAAAATACAATTTAAAAAAAGATTTTACTGAAATACAAAGATGGTTGAAACTAATAGCATTCCTTCCTTAGTTATATAAAAGGTGAAGGGCTCTTACACTTTCAACTAAAATGATTAACTTAAAAACTATAGGCAGAAATATAAGGCAAATGAAAGTATTAAGTTTAGAATTTATGAATATTATTATCTGAAAATGGAAATGAGTTAATGGTAAATTCTACCCAGGTCTTCTTTTATGTAACAATATCATTTTAGCAAAAACAATGATCAATCAAAATGGGGAAATTCAAATCATGAGCATCTGTGCCTTTGGATTTAACAAAATATTACAGCTGATAGTAAAGGAGAAAAAAACAGTTGAGTGCAAAGGAGAAATCATTAGATCTTCCTGTACCTCAATTTTTAAAGTCTACAAAATGATGAGATTAAACTGGGCTCTAAAATTCTGATAATGTTTTTCTCTCTAAGGCTAACTTCCATCTACTCTGTGTGTATCTTGTATCTAGGTACTTATACATACATACACATATGTATACACACATATACATATACACATACATACTTTTTTATATGCAGTCTCAGCCCACTAGAATATAAAATATAAGCTAGAAAATAATTAGAATACAAGCTCTTTGAGGACAGGAACTGTTTTCTGCCTTTTTTTTTTTTCTTTTTTGTATCCTCAGGACTTAGCACAACGGCTGGCACATAGAAAGTGTTTATTAAATGACTGTTTATTGATTCATTGGTTGATTTTCCCTAAGCCCCTAGAAAAGAGATCTTCCCAAGGAAAATTTTACAAACAAATAAATCTTTGTGCATGGTGACATGAGAAAGATATATATTAGCAAAGGGAAAAATCACATCTTCTGCATTATACATAAGGCCAAAAAAAAAAGTTCTGTATTCAAATAACACCTTTGTCCAAAAAGGTATAAATACCCAGCTTCCAGGAAACAAGTTTCTGACTCTAGGTTTTTAGGACAGATCTTACCAGGCTATGCCACATGACTAGATAAAAAGATAATTCTTTGAGAAAAGTCATTGAAGATGAGGACTGAATTCTTCTGTGTTGCACCAAGACTTAATGTGCAGTAGGCCTATTGAATGCAGGATGAATGTTGGGTAGATGAGCAAAACACTAAGGAAGATCACTAAATAAACAGGAATTATTCCTTATGGAGTCTATCATTTAATAGATAATAGAACTTATGGGGAGAGGAGTTTGGGGTTGGGTCACTTTGTCAGGTAGAGAAGCTCCAGAATGTGGGGAATAAAGAAAATGGCTCACGTTCCAGTAGCAAGTATCATTTCATAAAATAGAAGAAACTATCAATTTAAAATTAGGCAATACAATCTAAATGTAGGAAAATTGCTAACAGAGAAAAAGAAGGTACTCAATTAATCTTTAGACACTTGAAAAGGCATAAACATTTGTTTAAGCAGTATCCCTTTCATTCTTCCTGGCATTCATTCATTCATTGCTAAATCACAACATTTCTGTAAGGGACAATCAGTTAGCTAGAAAACAACAATAACAACAATTATGTAATGTGTTACAGGGGCAGTTAGGTGGCACAGTGGATACAGTGCAGGGACTGGAATCAGAAAGACTTACCTTGCTGAGTTCAAACCTGGCCTCATACACTAGCTGTGTGACCCTAGGCAAGTCACTTAACCCTGTTTTTCTGTTTTCTCATCTGTAAAATGAGCTAGACAAGGAAATGGAAAACCACTCCAGTATCTCTGCCAAGAAAACTCCAAATGGGGTCACAAAGAGTTGGACAGGATTGAAAATGATTGAACAACAAATGTAGTATAGGGACAAAACAGAAAAACATCAGTCTACATATACATATACATATACATATACATATACATATATATATATAGGCTTGGTAATTTATGTGTACTTCTCTAAACCAGTCCCTGCTAAAATCCTAAGCCTCACCATGACATAGAGGTGACACAAAAAGGCTATGCCAATGGAGTATAAACTTTGGAAACCCTGGAAAGACTTCAAGTAAGGGAAGTACTAGTTTATCTAAATTTGCAAAGACTACCAAGTTAATACATTGTTGGCCATAGGGACTCATTAAACCACCTAGATTAAGGATGAGGAGGGGTTGTGATCTGTATCACTGGGTGCTAACATGGTGCTAATCATGGCTCCTTTAAGTACTGAAGCAATAGGAAATTATTAAAATTGGGTTATTCTTTCAAAAATAGTGACTGCATCACAGTGTTGACTAGGAAGGAATGAAGCCCTTTCTTTGAGACTACATTGAAAAGATAATTGAGACAATCAATGATTACAAAGAATTTAAAAGTATGTAGTACTTTTCAGTTTATTTAAAAATGGAAAAGTATTTTAAAGCTCAGCAGCAGAAAAGAGACACTCTAATAAAAATAATCTAGAAGATAATAAATCTGGGAGCTTAATGAAAATGTTCTGAAAAGGGCTGGGAACCTATGATAGCACCTAGCTTCTATCTTTATCATTACAATGACAAATAAGTTTGCTTGGAAACTTAGGCTGGGCAAGTCTACTCTTGCAATATTCTTGGTAGGGCCTGCTAGATGAGCGTATGATTGGAAGTTCCTTCCCTTAACTGCTTACCAATGAGTTTTTTGTTTTTGCTTCTTTCCTGTCACTAGTTTCCCAAAGGGAAGGAAAATGATAAACATAAATTAAAGCACAGACTCACAAGACACAAGCCCAAAAGGAAATTAGGTAAAGCCAAAAACAAATTTTGACAAGTTTAATAAAAAAATGCAATTATGTGCATAGTATTAAAACCATAATTTTCAGGAAGGATATTCCCTTTGGTCAGATAAATATATCTTCATTATGACATTAGTAAATGTGGGAAATAGTAGAAACAATTTTAGAAACTAATAAAAAAAAGACTTTGTGCTGATTTTTAGATTACATTTGGCAAGGATATAGTCATTTAGAAAAAAATGGTTATCAGCCTGGATTACCATTCTGTCGGATATAGTGTTAGATACAGCTCTAGGCTGGCACATAAACCAGAATCTTGTCACAAAGCACAGCATGTCTTCTTTCATTACAAAAGCATATACTATAGTTTCTTCCCACCCACACACAAAAGCAATACCCTCTCCTTAGAATTAGAGTTTGATGGCATCACAGATCTCCCTTCTTCGTCAAACCAAGGAAATTTATCTGTGAGAAAAAGCATATGGCATAATTATAGCTGTCAATGCATCTCAAGATATGAACTCTTAATTTTACTTTGATACAAACTGATTTAAAAAAAAACTGTGGATATAATAATGATAAGAGTAAATCCTTTGTTACCCTTTCCCTACATCTATCAGTGAAGAAAATCAGGGCATCATATAACTCCTTCTTCCTATAACATCCTCTTCCCAGTTTCTCAGTGTTAAAATCCTAATGATTCAAAATCCAACCCAGATACTGTGGCCCCATGAAGTTTTTCCTGATCTCCAAGCCGGAAGTGATCTCTCT